TCATCTGTTGATGGATATTTAGGTTACTTCCATGTCTTGGCTAATGTAAATAGTGCTGCTATAAACATTGGGGTGCATGTGTCTTTTTGAATTAGTTTTTGTCTTTTCCAGATACATGCCCAGGAATGGGATTACCAGATCATATAACTCTATTTTTAGTTTTTTAAGGAACTTCTGTAGTTTCCATAGGAACTGTAGGAGTTCCCACGACTATAGAATACATTCCCAACAGTGTAAGAGGGTTCCCTTTTCTCCACACCCTCTCCAGCATTTATTATTTGTAGACTTCTTGATGATGGCCATTCTGACTGGTGAGAGGTGATACCTCATCGTAGTTTTGATTTGCATTTCTCTAATAATTAGCGACGTTGAGCATCTTTTCACATGCCTATTGGCCACTTATATGTCTTCTTTGGGGAAATGTCTATTTAGGTCTTCTGCCCAGTAAATCTAATTTCTAATGCTGGTTCTGCACTGACTAGTTCTTTGAGCTTGGATAAGAAACTTATTTTTTTTGAGTCTTAGTTTCCTCATATTTAAAATATGGATAATAATGCCTATATTGCACCTGTGCTTTGAAGATGAAATACAATGCATGCAAAGAGCTTAGCACGGTGCCTGCCTGACACAGAATGTGAGCTCAGAAAATGCATTGTAGTTTCTTTATATGTGTTTACAGTCCGAGTCTTTGTCCCAAAGGATATCTTGTCCAGGAGCACACAGCTAGAGTAGAAACAGCATGGTGGGTAGGAAAAAATTGTAAACAGAAGTCTGGTTTTTCCTGGTTTTTTGTTTTGACATTTTTATTCAGTGGCTTCCCAGCACAAATGGGATAAAGTCTGGACTTCTTGGTGTGGCTTTTCCTGTCTGCTGCTCTCCATTCTCACTGCCCTCAGGTCTCACAAGCTTTGTTCAGGTTGCTCCCCCACAGCCCCACTGCCTCCTCCTCCCACTGGAAGAATCCAGCTCATCCAGCCCTCATCTGTCCTGGTCCATCCCAAACTCAGCCGGACTCAGCCTCCTCCATAAGCCCCACTTTCTCTTTGGTTGAGATTTGTGCTCCCTCCTCTGTTCACCCATAGTACCTATTTTAGTGCTTATAATTGTATGATGAATATTATATTTAAAGATGTTTCCCCACTGCAGAGTCTAATATAGCCCACTCTAGCGTACATAGCACTCTTACATCCATTGTCTCATTTGATCCTCACAACCATGGTAAGGTAGATTTTTTTTTCTGCAAGATACGGAGAAGGAAGCTATGGCTCAGAAAGACGGAATTACTCTCCCAGAGTCACCCAGCTAGTGAGCAGCAGGGCTGGGTTTTGACCTGGAGGAGAGTTTTCTTTCCACTGCACCACACCCACTCTGACATGGTTCAAAGAACAGTTTCAAAGAGGGAATTTCCCTAACAACTTTCTTGGGAAGATGCCTGTAAATCTTAGCCTTATCGTAGTTAATCCATAGCAAACTTTTATTTTTATTTTGTTATTCAAATTTTTTTTTTTAGCAAACTTTTACATCCAGAATATGGAGGGGTATTTTCAAGTAACATTAAGGATCTCAGGTTCACAAGTAGCTCAAAATACTTAGCAAATTACTGATAAATGACTGTTTTCTTATAGCATGTTTTGAATTATGCTCAGTTATACAGTCTGCTTTACAACAGGAGATGAGGATGGGCTGTTCGGCATTGGAAATGTAATGTACGTGTACTACCAGTGTGAATGATTTTCCTTCACGGTTTACTTAGAGGAATGTGATGTTGCATGCATTGCTCTTTGTGGGAGAGGTGGAAAGCCAACACTATGATGTCTTCAGGTTTGACCTGGGCAAGGGTGCTCACATTAGCCAGGTACCTTCAGCCAAGGAGTTTCCATGACTATAGAATGAAGGCTTAACTGTGAAATGAATGGATTTCCGAAAAAGTTGTTATCAGCAGGTTTATAATAGTTCTTTTGGCCTGAGTTGTTGAAAGAAGGAGAGAAAGGAAGGGGGTGAGGAAGGATGGAGGGAAGGTAGGAAGGAAGGAAGGAACTTGTATATATTTCTGAAGGTAGCTTTGGTTTCATTGCAGGTTTATTAGCTATTTAGATGCAAAATTGATAGACAGTGTTAAATACATGAGCTGCTATTGAACTGCAGGCTGTTGGCAATAGTCTTAAAAGCATTTGTCTTTGTACACTATGTAAGCATATTTGTGTTCCACAAAATTCACATGTGCTTAGTGATCCTTTGGATACTATAAGAAAAGAGATTTTATATAACATGAGAGGCTCAAAATTACTGCTCATAAGAAAATTT